TCGTGTTGTTTAATTTAATGATACGGTATCAGTATCATGGGCTGCTGTATCGATATATTGCCAAGACTATTTTTTTGGTATATTTTACTAAATTATGTTGTGAAAGAGCTACGATTATGTTGCTTATTTGGAGAACGTGCACTTTTTTTTCACATTTTTGCGTAAAATGGCTATTAAACCACAAAATTCATATGAAAAACAAAGATTTTTAGTATCACAGCCCTGATTTAAGCTTTATTTTTTACTGAACCGTATCAAATCATTTTGAAATATATCGTATCGAATCATATTGACTTGAAAGCACTATATCGAAAACCGTATCGTATTGTGTCCTATGTATCGAGGTATGTATTGTATCGGCAACTTCTTAATGATATCCAGCCTTAAATTAACTAAAAACTAAAAATAGTGTGGAACATTCCAGGTAAAGACGTAACATTTCCATGAGACAATCAGGTGTCAAATGCTCCACCAGAAAAGTGACACAATTTTCCATATTATAATTCAGCCCAGAAACATTATTATAATACTGATACTGGCATCGCATGGGGGTGTTCTACAGTCATGTCTATGGTGAAACGTTCAGAAATTACCATGGAAACACAATGCACACATTTGTAAACACTGCCAGCTTTGAAGAAACTTTTGAAAAAATTGATTTAAACAACACATTTCCAGGAGCCGGTGATCAATACGAGCATTCATGGTGCTGTTCGGGAGTTTGATTTTTGACAAAAAGGTGAGAGTGACTGACTGAAAAAGTATTTGAAAGGGATTTGTACAAAAGTATAAATCAGCTCATCTGTTGTAATTAAAACTAGTGTTAAATCAGTTTTTTATGGTCAGATTGTGTTAAAACAAAGCTCACATTAAAGTTTAATCTAATACCACTTCTGACAGTATTGCCCATTTAATTTAATTTCATTTAATTTTATTTATATTAAGTTAATTACAGCACATAATTTTATTCCTTTATTTAAAATCCCTTCATTTAAAAATGCTCTGTTTCAATATTTACAAGTCCCATGTCATTGTTTTGGATCATTTTGTTGAATTCTGTCATTCGTCTTGTTGTATTTTGTGATTATCTTTGAATTCTGTCTTAGTTGTTTGCTCAAATTTGATTCATTATGTGTCAAACAGTCAAGTGTGTGTCTGAATTATTTACTCACACTTGTTCTTTTTTGTTTTGTTTGAGTGGCCAGATGGAAGAACTATGGCAGAAACCATGAATCAACAAAGGGGGGAGCACTATTTAGTTAGTTTTACCAAGTTTGTCTAGTTTGTTTTAAGGTCACTTTATTATCACTTATTATTTTCTGTATTACACTTATTTGCCTTCTTGTTTCTTTAATTAAGTTAGTAGTTTTAGTTAATTATTTAGTGTAATTCTCCCCTCTTGGATTCAGTTTTAGTTGGTCCTCATGTATTTAAACTCCCCTGTTCCTTTGTCTGGTTGGGTTTGTTTTGTTTTGTTCTGTTCTGTTCAGTTTGACTTAAGTTACTCCAGTTGGGTCCGGTTTTTTGTTAACGATTCACCTAATCTGAGCCTTTATTAAATCTAAACTTATTTTTAAACCCTGTGTTTGCCTTTTTGTTTGGTCCACTACACTCCCCCAGGGAATGTTGGGAAAATATAAAAATACACATTTAGATACAGTTAAAATGTAATGTGTTTAAGCGAGTTGTGCAGCTGTCACATTAAGGAATAACTTCCTTGTAAATGACCGACACTATAGAGCTGACAATATTACTCAGCATAATTGTGACTAGTGAGCTATTAAGCAGAACTGTAATCATATTTTGATAATCGTTCTGTGGACTATACAGACTCTAATGCAAACACCGAAGACCATTAAACTGATAATAATAACAAAGACAGCGGCATTACTAAATCTAAATGTCAGATCACGTTCTGTCTTTATAGCAAAGCCTTCAGTCAACATATATTAACTAGTCAAGGGTTGGAATATCAAAATTAATCACTGACTGGTCGGCAAGTAAAATTTCAAACTCGATTTCAGTACTGAGGAATAAACGATAAGGATACGCTTTGTTTAATTTAATGTTGAAAATCACATTCTACTGTTTATAGTACTTTCTAGGAATGTAAAAATAACTGAAATATCATATCGTATCGTCAAAAGTTCTCACAATAACATCGTGGACCATCATAATATATCGAATCACAAGTCTCTTTGCTTAAATTAAGAGTTATGGTGCAGCAATAGCTAAAAAAAAGACAGAGGGAACTACATAGACCATGATCCTTTGCTCCATTTCAGTGCAGACTACAAGAAGAAATAACAGTTCTAATCACTTTTAAGCCTTAGTTCTTCGGATTCTTGTTAAGGCATTTTAAGAGGAAAAAGGTGCATATTCACAGTTTTCTTACCCTCCACAAAATACACAGTAAATGGATATCGTTACATCCCTAATCGTGAGCCTCCCCACTATATCGTGAGCTTTCCCGCGATATCGCAATAAATATCGTACCGTAAGGTTCATACCGTGACGATATCGTATCGTGAGACTTATATATCGTTACACCCCTAGAGGGAACTACATAGACCATGATCCTTTGCTCCAGTTCTAAGCACTTTTAAGTCCATGGCAAGAAGAAAATTCAGTTTGTCGACTGGACAAAAGTTAGTTTGGTTGAAGCCTACATGTTTACAGAAACTGTAAACAAGTAGGTGTGTTAGTTTCAGTGTCGTTAGCTTCTCCCTGCAGATAAAAGGAAGTGTCCACCAGCATCTGACCAGAACTGAAGAAGCAGCTTGGATGAGCTGCGAAACATCTTCAACCAAACTAACTTTTGTCCAGTCGACAAACTGAATTTTCTCCTCGCCATGGATTCTACCTGGACGACTGAGGGATTCTTCACACACTTTTAAGTCTTAGTTCTTTGGATTAAGTCTTGTCAAGGCATTTTAAGAGGAAAAAGTAGCATATTTACAGTTTTGTTTGTAAACCTCCACAAAATATCGCAATAAATATTGTACCGTGAGATATATATTGTGAAAATATTGTACCGAGAGATTTGGATATTGTTACATCCCTAATTGTGACCTTTCCCACAAAATAGCTCAATAAATATCGTACCGTGGCTTTCAAACCGTGACGATATAGTACAGAGAGATTTGGATATCGTTACACCCCTTACACTATCTTTTATGTTACCATGTCGGATTATATCTGTGTAATCTCTCGGTTGTCCAGACTTGTTCTGATACAGCTCAAGATCATTCTAAAGCGATTCAGGAATGATTCGTTTTTGTTCTGTGACGTTTTTAGTATCAACGCCTGCTCAAATGAGTATCTAGTTTCGATCTTAGTTCTAGATGTTATCAGTGAGTGTCTTAACTTCAATACTTCTGATCTCAGACCGGTCCAACTACTAAAATAATGAGTTGCATCAGAGTTTGCCTTAGAAGAACTTTGCCTTGAAATAACTTTACTTAGGGCTAAATTACAGTTGCTGGTATAGTCTGACAGTTACTATATGACCACAGTCTTATGTAACGCCATTAAGCAAGACCAGAGCAAGGAGCAGTTTGCAGCAGATGCCCTGATAGATTACTTAATCAAAGGTGGTGTGAGCACAGACTGTACTTTCATCACTGCAAAACCAAAAACAGTAAAGTGTCTGAAAATATGTAATATTAGTATTTCACATGTTTTGCCGTATTGGTGTAAGTTTTTTTGCGTTTTATACATTTCAACGTAAAGTTACAAACCAAAAAATGTACTTACGATAAATCCTGACCCCAGAAATAACAGTTCCGTGTGTTATATTGAAATCTATATGCAACCTTTGTGATTTCTGACCATGTAAATTAAGTTCTTAAAGTCAAAGTAGTAGTAGTTGTAGTAGTAGTAGTGACCTTGAAACAAAAAAGTGCTTGAAGATACAAAATTCAGCTTCTATAGTGACAAAAAAGAGGGTTAATTCTAGTTTGTAGGTGTTAAAATATAAACAAAGCACATTAGAAATATATTAAAACAACTATAATGAATCCAAAATCTATTCAAAACTACTTCTTATTACCTTGTCAATGTAACAACCTTATAATTACCACAGTATTTTCAAGGGCAAAGTTACTAAACCCTTGGAAATAACACAATTAAGTTATTACTACATGTAAATAATGCAACATAACATTATTAATCGTTATTATATGTTGACTATTTGCTTTTGCAGTGTAGTAGGAGGCCCTTTTTTGAGAATACAGACGTGTCAAACCGTGCATTCAGGTCAAAGTTCATGCGCCTGACCTCCCCCATCACAACACTCCCTCCCTGAAGCAATAAACAGATAATTTTAGGTTGCAAAGACTTGGATAAATAGATAGAATAGAGGGCATGGCACTGTTATGAAAGCTACTGTTAAAATATGGAGGAATGCGTTTAAAACAACAAGTATTATGCTCAAAAAGAATAAAAATCTGTAAGCACTTGACCATGTGGCTTCTAGTGTTTATGTCAATCCTTGATCCTAATCCTTTCACACACAAAACAGGCTCGACATGTCTTGGTAAACAAGTGCACCAGTCCAGCAATGTTTAACCACATTTTTACGCCTAAATGTGACCAACACTGAGGCAGACATGATTTCTTTACTGTCAGGTCCCTACAGCTTTTAGACAAACAGATTTTAGTCCAAGAGAGCTAAAGACAAAACAAAACTATGACAAGCTTCTTATAAATAGCGGATTTCAATGCAAATAAAGCATGACAGATTTGTAAAAACCGCACTGCTATGTTATATTTGACTACTAAATGGTGTTAAAAATGCAGTTTCGTTCAAGTGCAGGCACATTTATTGTTTCGTTGTTGCTTTTAGGACAAGATATTTGCAGACTTGGCAGAGATTAGCGGTGAGTTCACTTTCTACACTCCACAAAATGGGTTATTGTCTTCCATCAGCCCGATCGGCGTCACTTAAACGTCGATGTACGGATAAGTAAATAAATAAATGATTAAAACGTGTCACTTACAGATTAAAATAGATAGCATAAGCCGTACAGCTGGCTCTGGTGATCCGAGGGAGTCCGATAGTTTCTCCAGCAAGGGAGCCGCCATCTTTCTTGTGGGCGGAAACGAGTCCACGCGACGCCCGACTGAGGTCTCCTGATTCAGGCCGACATACTCCGGCTTTTTATAGGCACAGTCTCCTCCTTTTACAACTCCTCCCTGCACCACTACACACGCTTTAATTCACATTACAAATCGATTTTTAAAGTCTATTTTTGTATATGCTTTTCCTATTATAGCGGACTGTAGCCTGCGTCAGTCACTGGCACTAGGGGAAACTCATATTTATTTATTTATTTATTTTTATTTTTACATTTTTATATTTTAATGTAATGTATTTAATGAATTTTAATGCATTTTATTATGTATATTTTTGTTTTTATTTATTTTTTATTTTATTTTTTATTGATTTTATTTTATTTATTTTTATATTATTTATTTATTTATTGTAATTTTTTATTTAATTTTTTGCTTTATTTTTATTAATTTTTTATTTTTACATTTTTATTTTTTTATTATTTTTTTTATTTAATGTATTTTTTTATTTTATTTTAATGTATTTATTTGTTATATTTAAATTTTTATTTATTCATTTATTTTGGTTTGTATTTATTTTATTTTTATTTATTTTCTATTTTATTTTTTTATTTATTTTATTTTATTTATTTTTATATTATTTACTTATTTATTGTAATTTTTTATATTTTGCTTTATTTTTATTTATTTATTATTGTATTTTTAATTTTATTTTAATGTATTAAATCTTTATATTTTAATTAATATATATATATATTTTTTTTTTTGGTTTGTATATTTTTAATTTAATATATAGCACAATTCACACAAAGTCATTCAAAGTGCTTTACAGAATAGGAAATACATTAAAATCTCAATAAAAACAGATCAAAACATAAATAATCATCATAATATTAAAAAGAGAGAGAGAGATTAAATTAGAGAGAAGAGTGTGGAATGAAATTATTAAATTTTTATTTGACAAAACAAATAGCCTAAAGGGCCCATTCTGTTGTCTTGACCTAATCTTACTTATCTCACTCATATCGAATTAACTGTGGTATTAAATAAATACAGATACAAACACCAGCACCAGGGATTGTAGACCTATCTATCTGTAAATCAAGCCGAAAAAGTGCTTCTGCAAGACTAAACTAGGTCATACCCATGGGCCATGTCTCGTATCATCTTTAGTGACTTATTCGTCTTCTTTGTAGCCTATTTTTCAACAGTGTTTTATTCAAACAGGCTTTTCAAGTCCATGCATTCTGATCATCTCATTCAAAGAGACTTAACATATTATTAACTTTGATGCAGTCAGTTAGACCAGGGGTTCTTAACCTTTTCAATGTTGGGGCCCAACTTTTTCTGAACAAAGTCACCTGGGGCCCAATCTCATATTAAATGTATTATATTGTACTGAATGTGGGGCCCCCAAGGAGGTGGTCCTGGTCCTATGGTTAAGAATGACTGAATTAAACTAGTGCTTTAGCCTTGTTACTTCTGGTGCCAGCAGAGGGCACATTTGCACACATCCAGACTGAATTTGCTCTACTTTAAATTTTTTTTTTAGCTGGATTTATCAGCGGGTTTCACTTCGCACCTGACCTCGCAGCATTAGGATCCATTCGCTCGACAATAGGCGAGTACTTTTTTAATTTAACCAGTCGCTGCTATTTGGTCGTGACGTATTTAAAGCGCCACTAACGGGGCTAACTGGTATATTAAGCTTTTCCCAAATCCCGTAGGAAGAAGAACAATAACGTCTTTCTCCGTGACAAAATTCAACAAACATTCTCTTTGTTCTGGCTTTAAATTTTCAATCTCGGGAATCGTTGCCAACACAGAATGTACGGCTTTTCACTGATTGGCTGGTGCACAGTCTACAACTTCTGGGATTTTTGCGAACCGTCTAGTGCAGGCATGTCCAAACTACGGCCCATGGGCCAAATGCGGCCCTCAGACAAATTTTTCTTGACCCTCAGGCTTCCAGGTGACTTGGCCCAAATTACCTTACATCAATTAAAAATGTACTTTTTACTGCAAGTTTTTTGCAAATGTACTTTGATAAAGCTCATATTGAAGATTTAGTGTGTGGTTTTGAGGATCTTAGCATGAATAAAGACTGATGACTCATTCTAACATGTTTAAACATGCACATATTTCAATTATTCACTGTATTCAGGACCAGTCTACGGTCCTCAATCAGCCCTCTGCTTCATCTGTGTTTAGATATGTGGCCCTTGATGAAAAAAGTTTGGACACCCCTGGTCTAGTGTATTCCGATTCTTGACCTAGTCACTGGACAGAAATTAAATTGAGTGAAGGCACAAGGTGGTGCTATTATTACTGTGCCATTACATTTACACCTATTTTTGCTTTTATGATTCTTCTGTAAGCATTTCATTACCAAAGTAGTGAAGTCCATGTGTGATTTCCCACGTGGATCAATAACCAGTCACTACCAGTCAAACATCTGCTGACAAATAGTTTTCCATTTGGCACTCTAACGCCATTAAACACATTTAATTTGTAATTTATTTTCTTTTAATGCTTTTAATGATCTGAGAGCAAAACACAATCTCTTCCAATCCAGAAACTTTACCACCCACAAGTGAAAAAAAAAATTATTTCAAAATGTGTCAGCAGTTTCCTTTGGTCAACCACATTAACAGATCATCTAAAAACTGTTTGAGAAAAGGAAGGTGAAACTGTCACACCAGAGCAACGATGGAAAGAATCGCTTTCTCTAATTCATAAATGTTTAATCGTTGGCACAGGTTAATGCAATTTAAAGCCATTCATCATTTTTATTACTGTACTGTTTAAGTTCTCACTGCATAAATTCTATCCAGATGCGTCTCCATTTTGTGACAAGTGTAAATGAGCTGAAGGATCATTGTTACTTTCATGGGTCGTTTTGATCTAGAATATTTCTTTTATTCTGGAGTAAATGAGACTGACGTGGCACCACACAGGGAAATGGATCTGTTTGGATGCTCTGTAGAGTCACAAAACCAACCAAAACACCAGGGGAGAGCTTTACAACTCGGAACTATTGTGGCCAAAAGACTCATTTTTGAAAGAATGGAAAACAACATCTGTGCCAACCTTTAGAAACTGGCTGAAGGAACCAGCCTGTGTCGCAGCTATGGAAAAGCAAATACTAATCTTGGGAAATCTGCTTAAATGGGAAAAGATATGGAATCCCCTGTTGGACTTACAAACATGAACAGAGGATTTTTATTTTATTTATGTTTTATGATCTTATTTTTGACCTATTATTGCATTAATAGGGGAGGTAATAACACTAACATTGCTGCTGTGGTTGTTATTTTCATTCTTTAGGGTTCCGTAAGCTACAAGCTCAGACCGGGTGTGGTTTGTGCGGTGGAGTGGGAGGTGTGTATGTTTTTCTTCACATGTGTGGGGTTATAGTTCTGTTTAAAAACACAATAAATAGGGATGTAACAGCAACTGAAATATCGTGAAGTATCGTCAAAGTTCTCGCAATAATATCGTGGACCATCGCAATATATCGAATCACAAGTCTCTTTGCTTAAATTAAGAGTTAGCCTAGGTTCAAACATGACTTATGTAGAATTAAATATATCATGACAAGATCTAAACCAAAACTAAAATTCAGAACTTGTTCAAAACCAGCCCATATTAAACTCGAACCGGAACAAACCAGGACTAATCCAGGATTAAACCAGGTCTAAAGTGAGACTAAGACAGTTATAAGACAACACTAAGCCACATCAAGAAGAACTTAAGCATGACTAAACCTAAACTAGAACTAAAACTGAGTTATATTTAGGGATGTAACAATAACCGAAATATCGTGATATCGTATCGTCAAAGTTCTCACAGTAATATCATGGACCATCGCAATATATCGAATTACAAGTCTCTTTGCTTAAATTAAGAGTTATGGTGCAGCAATAGCTCAAAAAAGACAGAAGGAACTACATAGACCATGATCCTTTGCTCCATTTCAGTGCAGACTACAAGGAGAAATAACAGTTCTAAGCACTTTTAAGTCTTAGTTCTTTGGATTAAGTCTTGTCAAGGCATTTTAAGAGAAGAAGTAACATATTAACAGTTTTGCTTGTTTAGCCTCCACAAAATATCACAATAAATATCGTACCGTGAGATGTGTATCGTGAAAACCGAGAGATTTGTATATTGTTACATCCCTAATTGTGAGCCTCCCCATCATTTCATGAGCTTTCCCACGATATCGCAATAAATATCGTACCGTGACGTTCATACCGTGACGACATCATATCGTGAGACTTGGATATCGTTACAACTTGAGACCTTACGTAAAAAAATCTAGCAAACCAATTGCCTTGAAAAGTCAAACTAAAGTGGACTTTGAGTCTAAAGCTGAGCTACAAGTAATTCCTCAGTGTAGTGTTCAGTAAATTACTCTTTCGTCTAACTAGGCACTAGGATATCATTACACCCCTAACAACAAAACATTTATATATTAAGAAAAAAAGCTTGAACACACCTTTGCATTCAGTGTTTTTTTTTTTTTTTTTAGATATATTTACTACTTTCTACATTTTATGGAAAACATCAAATATATGAAGCAAGATGTATTGAATTGTGTAGCAGAAAGTGAAACAACTCAAGTAAATAGATTAATTTCTCTACAGCGATAAGGTCAGGAATGAAAATACACTAGACAGTTTGCAAGGACCATGGAAGTGCGAGTTCAGGCACCAACCAATCAGCGAAGAGCCATACATTCTGTGTTGGTAACAATTCCCAAGATCGAGGATTTAAAGCACAAACAAAGAACAAAGAGAATGTTTGGTGAATTTTATCAAGGGGAAAGATGTTATTGCCCTTCTTCCTACAGGATTTGGGAAAAGCTTAATATACCATTTACCTCCTTACCGGTGCATTACATACGTCATGACCAAATAGCAGCGATTGGTTAAATTTTAAAAAAGTACCCGTTTACCGTTGAGCGAACGAATCCTAGTGCTGTGAGGTTAGATGGTTTCCACGAAGTGAAACCAGCTGATGAATCAGGTTAACTCTTTCCCATGTCAACAGCTCTGCAAACTCTTGGCCTTCTCTCTATGAACTCATGATAATGTCTCCTGCAATGGCAAAAGTCTAAACCAGGGTTCAAAGAAAAAAGAGGCTATTTAAAAAATAAATAAATAAAAATTTACAATCCAAAACACAACTCCAAGTATGTTTTTGTGATGAGGTAACACCATTTTAACACGTCTTAAAATTCACAAGAGTCAATTTTAAGTCATGTATGTGGCTACTTTGGCTCTCAGTGTGTGAACCAGTCAGTCTATTCAAACTATTTCACTTAAATTACTTCTTGTTTCTTTATAAACTTGATCAAACTCTGTGGAAATTGACCACTCACCACACAGAATAGGCTGATTGTGTATTAAAAAAAGTCCGCAAAATCACCTGAAAATAAACTGTCAACGCCATCTTGTGGTAGGTCAGAGAAGTCTACACACAAAGACCAAAGACTATGAGGTGTTCCCGGTGTTTTTACATGATTATAACAGAGGTGGAGGCTTGAAAGTCGTGACTTGGACTCGAGTCAGACTTGAGTAACTAATTTTAGGACTTGAGACTTGACTTGATAAACTGGCCTAAGAAATGGGACTCGACTTGAACTTGAAGATAAGTGACTTGGGACATGACTCGGACTTGAGAAGCACTTTTAAATCTGAATTCTTTCTATTTTGACTATAATGATTCACTCTAAGAGCTTGTCAAGACATTTAAAAAGGAAAAAAATAACAAAATTAAATTCCACAACTCTTATATAGTCTATAAATACTCATGTACAAATATACTATGATTTATTTTAAGTACAATTTATCTTAAAAGTCATATAAATTGCAAAGATCTAAGATATATTTGGTACTTAACTGAAAGGTTTTCATTCCGCACTCTTCTCTCCAATTTATGTCTCTCTTTTTTAATTTTAATCTTTATGATTATTTATGTTTTGATTTGTTTTTATTATGATTTTAATGTATTTCTTATTCTGTAAAGCACTTTTGTGTATGAATTGTGCTATACAAATAAACTTGCCTTGCCTTACTTTGGTTTAAAGACTTGAAATGACTTGAAGCTCAAAGCAGACGACTTGGACTTGACTTGGACTTATATGGGTCAGTGACTCGAGACTCGACTTGGACTTTGTATTTGACTTGGGACTTGACTCGGAACTGAGGTCAAAGAATTGAGACTGACTTGAGACTTGCAAAACAAAGACTTGGTCCCACCTCCGGATTATAATGATATGAAACCTAAATCTAATAAATAAATAAATAAATATAGAAACAATAATAAAAGAAAAAAAATAAAATAGTTATAGTGAACTGTACATTATTATCAATTCAATTATTTTTTATTTATCAATTTAAGAGCATTGACTGTGTAAACCAGGGGTGTCAAAGTCATTTTGTTCCAGGGGCCGTATCCAACCGACTTTGATCCCGGATCAGAAAACTCATGTCATATAAACCCCAAAAATAACAATAAGTTCAAATATTTGTGCAGAGAAACACAAATCTATTACAGAAATCTATTTTTTAATTGATGACCTCTTTCTTTTACAAAATATTATAATATTATAAAAAAACTGAAACTTTAAGAAAAATACAATTTCAACACAAAGTTTCAACATGAGCTTGTATGTAAATAGGAATAAATACATTTTTGTTGTAAAATCCTGCACTCGGCTCCACTTTTCTCATGTTGGACATTTTTCTGATGTGGGTGTCACGGTCAACAGTCAAAACGATCGTCCTTTAAAAGCGTTTGGAAAGAGACAAGTCTTCATTTGTGCTGCTCTGGTGGGAGGGGCCACGTACAGAGACGCTGGAGACGCTGCTATGCTAAGCACTGCAGAAAATTACAAATATTTTAATAGAAAATATTATTAAAATATTTTTGTAGAAAATCAGCCTGAGGGCCAGATTAAAGGATTTGGAGGGCCGCATCTGGCCCCCGGGCCGTATGTTTGACACCTGTGGTGTAAACATTTTTATACAGTCTACGTTAAAGAGCCACGGATTTACCACATAATTGTTTCTTGTAAAAAAAATATATATATATATATATTTTTTTTTGCAAATAATTCCTATTCTTCGAGCAAAACCACGTGGATAGTAAAAGTGTGGATTATATACGTTGATCTAATGAATTTTAAAGACAAGTTTATTTTCATTAAACCTGTAGGTGGGTTCCCCGTTATGGGAAACCTGCTGGAAAAATATAAAAGAGCAAAACTTCTGCCTGAACGGCGCATGCGTCTGGTCCTAAGTTAAAATGACATAGAACTCTCAGTTATGGTGTCAACGATTTTATTTTTATTTTTTATTTTTTTTTACTACACAATATTCTGTTTAAATTTCCGAGATCACTAACATTATTGGCAACACAGAATTCGATCACTTTAAACTAAGAAATCTCAAAATCTTTAAGAAGTACACATTTAACTCACGTCTGTTCGTATTCAAATTAGAAGAACTATTGTCCAATAGGAGGCAGCTCTGGGCACAGAAAGGGGCGTGTACCTCTGAATCCAGCCAATCAAATAATCACTATAAACTAGCGCTTTAATTTGCACTGGACGTAACAAAAACTGGTTTGACCAAAAGAATGACGCATCTCAAATATTAATTATTACCCAAAATAATTAATAGACATGCTTCTTACTAAATTATGTTAAAATAAAACGGATATGAATTAATAAAAAAAATAATAAAAAAAATAGATCATCACTGTTTATTGTTGCACCAAGTTCGACTTGTGCATGTTTTAATAATAATAATTTTAATAATAAAGCACGAGGGCTGTTATATTGCAGTTAAATGAGTATTAAGCAAATTTTCTGGTGAAGGGTTCGCTCTTATTTAACTTTTCCATGAGGTGAATCCACCAAGCCACATTACAGGTCAGATCTGCGGAAAGGAGATCTCTCTCACAGTAAGAATACATTTATTTCAAGGTATTTTTTGGATAATAAAAACACCTGTAACTGAATAGATGGAGCAGATGAAAGTTTAATGCCATGTTGTGCAAATCAGTAATGACATTTTAATGGAAACAAACGCAAGCAACAGACCCTCTATTAGAAAAGTTCCACAGTGCACCTTTAATTTGTATCTTTATAAGAGTGATTGAAATTAACAGGTAGTATTTGAAGGCAGCATGACTTTCTGCGCTTGCACTTCCTGAAATTGGGAAACGTCTTGTGGGCGTACCGGCGCTGAACCAATAAAACGCAGCGGGAGGAGGGCTCATGTGCCTGGGTTTATAAATTCTCCAAGCCGCTGTCTGTCGCTCGCTCTCTCGCCCCAGACAAGAAGGACCCTGGTGGTGGTTTTTGAAGGTTACGACTTTATTTCTAAGCAAATTAAAAACTACCCGCGCACCGCAATCATGACCAGAAAATTCTTCGTCGGAGGAAACTGGAAGATGAACGGCGACAAGAAAAGCCTTGGGGACCTCATTCAGACTATGAACGGAGCCAGTGTGGACCCCAATGTCGGTACGTGAATTCAACACCGATCTATTTTATATCACACTTGACTTTTACGCAATTGAACGCCACTGCAGACTTGTGCCATGCGCGTAATGCTGTGCAAGTTGGAATTATGAGGTCTATCAAGTTTAAACACCGATCCAGATTGCTCCTGGTTTAATCCTGGTCTAGATTTGGGTCAATTCTGGTGATTAGACCCGGTTCATTCCTAGTTTTGTCCTGGTTTAGACCTCTATAATTCGTGCGTAAGGCCATGTTCAAAGTCACCCATTCATTGGATAAAAGAATAAGGAACAATGCCTCGTGGAGTTCATTGGTTAATTTCCTTTACGCACACCCAGCTGCTTTCAATGAGCGACGCGTTCTTAATTCTGTAGCCCGGACATGCTGCAGCAGAGCCAGGGTGACGTGCTTGGCGTGTGTCGGTGCAGCGGAGGTGGGCGTGTGAGCGTTTGCAGCCGCACGTACTCCACTCTCGGGTTATTAAGCGGCGGAAAACCGGAGCTAGGCCCGAAGCTCCTCTGTTACAGCCTCGTGTTGCATTCACGGACCTCACTCATCAATGATGCAGCTGTTTTATGCACACAAAGCTGCTCATTTTTGCATAATATTTAACAAAATACCGAAATATCTTCAATAATGGTTCATTTTTTACCATTTTACTCAAAGTTCAGTAGTGCCAACAAGGATAATGAAGAAACCACGAACTTGTACATATTGTTCTATTCATGTCGAGGCCTATATTTTTTTATTTTATTTATATTATAATGTATAGTATATTGGAGAAACGTTGTAAACCCTATTAAATGACACTTTAATAAGGCTCCACTGCACATAGGGGTTATGCAACTGTTATGTATACAGCAGTCCTCCTGACCGTCTACAGACCTTTCTCTATTCTATCTGTCCCCCTTTATTGGCTGGAGCTGAGCCCTTTAGTTCACTCTCTCCATTACTTTGCACCAGGTCGGGAAATGTATCGGGTTATTTTTGTGGCTTGGATCAATATGACATGGAAAATAAAAGACTATATGCCAAACATTCACACATAAATCACAAAATGCTTCATAACATTGAGCAATTTGCTAAATATTCATATTTTTGAATGAATGGGGTGGGCATATTGCATCGGTTTCTCTTCACTTCTGAATTTTGTGTAATTTTATGCAATAATTGTAGGATAGATCGCAATATTTAGTTGGTTAGTTCGATCGTTTTTGTAGTAAATCCACTCTAAAGGTTAAGCATCTGTTCAAAAGTCTGAGTACAGGAGTTTGAGTGACCATGTCCCTTCAGATTGTTCAATTAAAACTACTTATTTGATTTGAATCTGTTACACGAAAGTAAACTACAACTTCAACTACACACACTATTACTTTTACAGTGTTTTGTGCTTCATTACATTTATTCAGTGTTTAAGTCTTAAGTTTTTGTCAACCTTCATTGACCCCAGCACTGGCCTCTTCAGTATGCAGCCCTGTTTGACATTTGCCAGTTGAACTTAGACCTTTAACTCACTCACACAAATGACCTTCACCAAACCCAACAAACGGTTTTATATAGACCAGTGTCCAGTCACATGCTGCTATACATATTGTGAACTTTCTGAGACTTTAAAATCTGTATCCCCAACTTCATATAATGTCTTTAAATAAATAAATAGTAGTAGAATGTTATTTGAACAGAAACTCATGATAATAATGTCAATAATGCTTTTTCCAATGAGTGAACTAGTTGAAATGAAATGAATGAAATGCATTACAGTAAAAATAAACATTCACAACACTAGTTAAAGAAACAAAAAGTCAGTTTTCATCAAAATCCCCAATATTTTGATGAGATTCTTGTAAATTTTTCAGCATATTAGATGAAGAAAAGGGGTAGAGCGCTTCACTGGATCATAAAAAAGTTAAAAATAGCAGTACAGGTGCTCTACGAGGGTTTTTCAGCACATGTTTTGAGTCTGTAGTTCAGATATGAATTATTGCTTATAAAATCTTTTCATACCAGTTTTTGTTGTGCAGCTCTTCTTTATTTTCATTTTTTTATTGCATTTCCACATTAAGTCATTCATTTCCCATACAGGGTTTATTAGAGTACAGTTTACAATCCTAACAAGTTATATAATCATACTCCTCTTTGTTTTACAGAGGTCGTGTGCGGTGCTCCTTCAATCTACCTGGACTTTGTCAGGTCTAAGCTCGATGCCAAATTCGGTGTTGCTGCTCAAAACTGCTACAAGGTTCCCAAGGGTGCCTTCACTGGGGAGATCAGGTAAGAGAAACAAAATATTATAACTTGTTGGGGAAAAGGTCCAAAGTGTTGCATTTAAAAGGAAGCAGAAACCCATGATTAGATGTTTTTAGATAGTTGCGCTCGGTGTCTGCTGACTGCAGATGTGGTTTGGGACACTCATGGGTCCTGCAAGAAAATCAGTAAAATCAGTAACACCCCATCACACTGCCCTCGGACCGGTGCAGGTGCAGGTTGGGCGCAGGCCTTTGGAAAGAATACACAAGAGGTCAATTTTTGCCAGACAACGCGGCGGTCTCTGACGTCAAGCTGACAAAATCACAGAAATAAAACATGAAATCAGTTGCACAGAACTGACAAATCCGGTGTATTTTCAGAATAAAATATCCCTGCACACTCCTGGTACTTTGTGGATTTACTTAACCATTGTATCCAAAAGCACAATAAAGTGGTATCCAAAAGCGCGACAAAGTGGTTATAGTGTGAAATGCTGTTGTAGTTTACCAATAAGACTTCTTATATGTGCTAATCTATCACATGAACTCCCGACTAGAGTGTGAATCCCCACGAATGGCCTCGCAGAAGCAGAGACAACGAGGGTTATGGGCAATATAGCAAACGTATAATATTTTAAGGTCAGAAATATCGATTTGATCCCAGATAATGGAACATTTTTAGTGGGTCTGAATGCATTTTTGAGTCTAGTGAAGCAATCTTTTGAGAGTTCACACTTTTCTGCAATTGTCACTCATTCAGAGCTTTACAGTGGAGGATTTGGTGGGCTAAAGCAGAATGAAAGTGTTTTTGTTTGAGCTTTTATTACAAAGAGCGCTGAATGATGATGTAAGATTTTCTCCCGACATGTTTTAATGTTATGAATTCTTGTTTGCCTATTTTCACTTACATTTTGTGTATCTGTCACCAGCCCTGCGATGATCAAGGACTGTGGGATCAACTGGGTGATCCTGGGACACTCCGAGAGACGCCATGTGTTTGGAGAGAGCGATGAGGTAAACCAGGCTCGCTATTTTACGTGATCTGGAATATGCGTTTACAGAGACTCATTTGTCGTTGTTTGCGTGCAGCTGATTGGTCAGAAGACGGCCCATGCTCTGGAGAGTGGACTGGGGGTCATCGCCTGCATCGGGGAGAAGCTGGACGAGAGGGAGGGGGGCATCACCGAGCAGGTTGTGTTTGCCCAGACCAAAGTCATCGCAGGTGTGACGCTCTCCCTGTGCAAACCTGTGGAGAAATCCTAACGCTTGTGCAATACTAAAGGACATCTTATCTTTTTCAGACAATGTAAAAGACTGGAGCAAAGTGGTGCTTGCTTACGAGCCAGTGTGGGCCATTGGCACAGGAAAGACCGCCTCCCCACAGCAGGTAAAGATTAGGCTAGACAAATATTTCTGCTGTTGCAATGTCATGTCCTGGTGTTTAAGCTTGTGTTTTTACGTCATGTTTTTAGGCTCAGGAAGTTCACGAGAAACTGAGGGGATGGCTCAAGGCCAACGTGTCCGAGGCAGTGGCCAACTCTGTGAGGATCATCTATGGAGGTCAGTACCTTTTTAACTTAATTATTTACTTCACATCAGGGGCTTTTTCTCATGAGTTTTTCCATTCAGGTTCTGTGACTGGAGGCACCTGCAAAGAGCTGGCGTCGCAGAAGGATGTGGACGGTTTCCTGGTGGGCGGAGCCTCTCTGAAGCCAGAGTTCATCGACATCATTAACGCAAAGGCATAAAAAAACGGTTATAATAATGTTGGAGGTTTGGATGCGTTTAGATTGTTCAGCTCATATTCAGCACTTCCCTTTTTATTGAGATTTGTGCAATGTTGTCATTCCCTGCTTTACCTGTACTTTGCTCTTTTTGTTAATAAAAGGGATAGATTGGCACATTTCACTGCACTGAGTTAAGTCCTGAGGTCTAGAGTCTGTGCTAATAACTTCCACAGCGAGTGCTAAAGCTGCAGACTGCTTACACTTACGGACCAGCAGTCCACAACTTTACTTGAACAAGTTTACAAAGTATTGTGTAAACAGTGTCTGAGCTCTTGTCAATCTGATATTTGTGTTTTTACTGTAGGTGTCTCTGTAACATTATGATGTTCTGTGCTTCATGCTGTAGATGACATGACCCTGGCTCTTTAGGTCTGCACATCTCATGTTGGATTTATTTGACTGTATTTGACATGAGGCTCAACTCAAACATTATAATAAACTGAGACTGTCAGTGACTCTGCATCTGGTTGTATTTCTCTCAGACGAATCTATTCTTCTGTTCTAAGTCTGAGTCTGAGTCTAGATGGAGGCAGTGGATCTTATTACAAAAGTGACCTGCAGACGACACAATGCCTGGAACATCTATTTTTGTCCTTGTCATGAACCATAAACCATCCTGAAAGAAGATAAAACTAAGTAATGTGAAGGGAAATGGTAAAAGCTCAGTTACAAAGGCAAAGGAAGTCAGTTTTTCTTCTTTATTTTTATATATTTTTTAATTTTAATATATTCTAGTCCAGCAGAGGGCGCTATTGTGGAATAAACCCTCATCAGAGCGTCACGTACAGGGGCAAGGCTTTCTGAACCACAGACCATTAGTAAAGGAAACATTTACTGTAAATAGAATATATACAAAATAATAAAAGGCTTAGCAGTTATAAATGTATTGATTATAACAACATCTTTGTGCAATTAGTCAACATTGTGTGTTAAACGTGTGAAAGAAACAAAACTCCAGGTTTTGATGTTTTTGATGAAACATTTTAACAGAAGATCAGAAAATAGTGTCATATAAGTCATTTAATCTTTGAGATGTTTACTGTTTTTAATCAATTTTAATGATCTACTTTGATATGTTTTGATGATGAAATAAGCAAATGGATGGCCTTATTCAAATTATCGATAATACGATGAATGTCGTTTTGAAGATGAGCAGGATTTTCGATATCGTATATATTTATTTTAATAATACAACCAAAAAAATAACAGCTGATAGACAAAGTAAAGGTGGTTATTGTAGTATATATCATACGTATGTTGTTCAAAATCTATCCAGTGAACCACTTTAAATTACTATTTCAAGTTTAAAAAGTGCCTTTAGAAGACGTTAATTTTTGTGGTCTAGTTTCAGATTAAATCGTTACAGTTTTAAATCTGCATAAATAACCTAACCTAGATATTTGGTCATCCTCAAAGAGGTTGACTCTCCTTGGACTCTTCATGCCAGCCTACCCTTTATTTACAGTTGTGATATATCGAAATGATTCATAGATTGTGGATTTCCCATTTCATTCCAAATTCCAGCTTTTCTAAATTTGGAGGAGAAAAAATCAGTTACAGTAAGTCGTGTGATCATTATTCCTCTGCCTCTTAAATGAAAATGTGTAAATATGGGGTCTCCTGATGAAGAAGAGCAGAGAGGAGACTGTGCTCACTCACAAGAGTCTCTTGTGCAGGTGCTTAACACAGAGTGCAACACTTCTCTCTGAGTGAGAGACAAACCATTACCTAACACTTTGAAACAATTCAATTAAAATCAACGATACAATGATCCAGAATACACACTTGTTCAATACATAGAGAGATGTGATTCAGGATTGCCAGGGAAGTGTATGGAAATAACTACCTCAGCAAATGTCGATTTGGTCTTCTGATAATTTATGTTATTAGGTTCTTTTTTTAGACCAAGAGTTTGTTTAGAGGAAAACAAACACTCGCAGGATTACCATACCAACTTTATTTATAAAGCACTTTAAAAACTTTGCAACTGGCCAATGTACTGTACACAAACACAGGTTAGACAAGGACAATCGCAGTACAACACAATACACAATACAAACACAATACAACTACTAAGAACATAGAAAACAATACGATACTCAACAAGAAATGTGCATGTCACTTATTAAAAGAAAGGATTAAAGAGGCAATTGAAATATGGAAACATGCCCAAGGGACTATAAACCGGGACAAGGGGGCTTTTTTACTCTCACACACCTGGGATACGATCCTGAGGAAGTCGGACTGCAGATGGCGCTGTCGTCCTGCTTCCTCCAGTAGGAAGACAGCGCCAAAACCTGTATAAATCAGCTGACCGGCCACGTCACAGCAACATCACGTGACTTCTCTGAGTAAAACTGCAGTGAGAAATCGAAACTGTATGAAAAACAAACCCTTGGTCTTAAAAAAGAACCTAATAACATATGACAATCCTAACTTTTCATGATTGTGAAACCCATGGATGTACAACAAGTTCTGGAGATGGGTCCCATTAGCCAGACTGGTGCCACCTAGTGCCTCCGCTCAGTTTCATTTATCTCCAACCACTAGGTCAGGAATCGGAATACACTACTGTTCGCTAAAACCCTGGAAGTGCGAGTTCGGGCACCAGCCAATCAGCGAAGAGCAAGACATTCTGTGTTGGCAACGATTCACAAGATCGAGGATTTAAAGCCGCAACAAAGACAATGTTTGGTGAATTTTATCAAGCAGAAAGAAGTTATTGCCCTTCTTCCTACGGGATTTGGGAAAAGCTTAATATACCAGTTAGCCCCGTTAGTGGCGCATATATGTCACGACCAAATAGCAGCGATTGGTTAAATGAAAAAAAGTACCCACCTACCATCGAGTGAACGAATCCTAAGACGGTTTCTACGAAGTGAAACTGTCTGATGAATCAGGCTAGGGTCCCATGGGTGCTACTCTGCCCCTGACAGGTTTCCCCAGAAGCCTCATTAAGTATGGGCCAAATGCAGAGGACAAATGTCTCTATAGGATTGTATTGTCCATTATCCTAATAGATATTTCTCCTGAATCCATTTCATGAAGTGACAGGTCTAATGCAGTGTTGTGACATGTGACAAAACCTGTAGAAAGGTACAGAAAAAAGAAATGAAAATGAAAAGACTATGTTAACCCTGAATCTAATTGCTCTTGAACAATACTGTAGATCAAGGGCTGACGAAGTGCCAAGAATAATCCCCCACTGCAATGTCACCGGGACAGGAGACCCCCCCTTCTATACTCACATGTGATTTCTGTGGTTCTTGGGTTCATCCTAGAGACAGATTCTTACCTTAAACCATATTTACTACTCACCTAACCTCAATCCTTAATCAATTTTACCCCATGTCTTAACTTTAAATCATTAACATGCTGGAGGAACATCACGGTGTGTACATATTTCAGTCTCTACGGTGTTATAAATACACTCTCTGCTGGAGGACACTTTACATTAGGTTGACACAATTTCCCAAGGTGACTTTTAATGACTTACACCCCACATAGGAACACATATGGGCCTGTTACAGTGCACCTTCACTTCAACACGGTAAGGAAGAAATATATTCATTTTTTAAAGGTGGAAGTGGAAGGGAGTGTGTGTTTGTGTCCCTAGAGTTCAGCTCCGGTCAAATGAAGCTCCATGTTAGGACAAAAAGCGAAATGAAAACCCCAGGATCATGTGGAGTGAGTTAATACGAACATTTTAACACCAAAATTATGAGTCTCACTGCAGCAGTTACAGAGAGAGCGATGATAATTTTTCAATGTAAAGCGAACTGGAGCCAGAGCCGATGGAGCTGGATGCGAGCCCATGCTCACTTCCTATTTGGAATATTCTGACTATCAGGTTAACCATGTCTATTTATATACACACAGTAATATCTAATAACTTTAGATTCACAGACCAGTTAAGTTAGATTTTTCAAGGCAATCGGGTTCCTAAGGGTTTTTTTTACAAGTAAAGTCTACTCATTAGATTTTACAGTGTCCAGTCTGTGGTCCACCACCTGCTTGTCGCCATGGAGACATTAATGCTTTACCTGGAGTGTTCCACAGTATCAAGCTTATCTATTTTGTATGTATTTAATTACAGGTGATTTTATTGCGTAATTATCGTAATCTCGTAATCCTTATTAGCATTTCAAGAGCTCTATAACTTTCAAAGCATTATGTTTTGAAAGAGAGAATAGAGCTCCGGAATGAATAAATTATGCATTAAATTTGTTTGTTTTAATATATATTTTGTCTCTTATATATACAGTGTGTCGTAAGTGAAATTGTAAATGAAAAAATGTCATAGTTTTATAGGGTTTGGCGTTGTATGGGGTTGTAGTCTATGTTTTGTTTTGTTTTGTTTTGTTTTTAGTGTTGGGGAGTAACAGATTACATGTACCGGAGTTATGTAATCAGAGTACACATTATGAGTAACTGTAGTCGGTTACAGTTACTGTTTCAGTGAGTGGTAATTGGATTACAGTTACTTTGTTGAAATAAGTGGATTACAATCTGGTAGTTTCCTGATTTTACATTTTGGGCTATATCCCCCCTTTTTTTTTTTTTTCGTAATTCCACTCATTGCCAGACCAGGTCTAAAAGCAGGTCTAAACTAGGTCTAAACTAGTTCTAAACCAGGTCTAAAACCAGGTCTAAACTAAGTCTAAACTAGGTCTAAACCAGGTCTAAACCAGGTCTAAACTAAGTCTAAACTAGGTCTAAACTAGGTCTAAACCAGGTCTAAAACCAGGTCTAAAACCAGGTCTAAACTAGGTCTAAACTAGGTCTAAACTAGGTCTAAACCAGGTCTAAACCAGGTCTAAACCAGGTCTAAACCAGGTCTAAACTAGGTCTAAACTAGGTCTAAACCAGGTCTAAACCAGGTCTAAAACCAGGTCTAAACTAGGTCTTAACTAGGTCTAAACTAGGTCTAAACCAGGTCTAAAACCAGGTCTAAACTAGGTCTAAACCAGGTCTAAAACTAGGTCTAAACCAAGTCTTAAACCAGGTCTAAACCAGGTAAAACCAGGTCTAAAACCAGGTATAAACCAGGACTAAACCATGCTGCACGGACCATGTCTCCTCCTCCATTTCTATCAGTAATATTTTTAATACGGTTAAGGAAAGACTGGGCATTTTATCGTCTTTTAGCAGACAAAACCTTTATGTGAAGATTTCCTCGTCTTTGCTTCTCTACAGAAAAATCAAGTAATCCAAAGTATTCAGATTACATTACTCACCTTAAGTAATTTAATGGATTACGTTACAAACTACATTTTGGTGTATGTAATCTGTAATCTGTAGGGGATTACATTTTAAAAGTAACCTTCCCTACACTGTTTGTTTTGTAGTGCTGCAAAATGATGGAATAAAAGCTACTACTAAAACTAGAGCTGGTGGAGACGCATGCTTGTTCCCATGGAGATAGATAAGTTTAATGTCATACTGTGAAACCTGC